ACTTTTTCTTGTTATAAAGTAACTATTTTCTAATGCAGATTTTAAAATATTTTTACTATATTTATTAATTATATTATTATATTTTACTATATTATACATTAATTATATTAATTAAATTATATACATACTAATTTGTCAAAATATGCTTCATATTTATATTAGTTATATATGTATGAAAACATAACTGTATGGCTCTATTCTATTTTTTAATTAAACTTTAAATTCTGGGGTACATGTGCAGAATGTGCAGGTTTGTTACATAACTATACATGTGCCATGGGGATTTCTGCACCCACCAACCCATCATCTATGTTAGATATTTCTCTTCATGCTATCCCTCCTCTAGCCACAAACCTGTTGACAGACCCTGGTGTGTGATGTTCCTCACCCTGTGTCCATGTGTTCTCATTGTTTAATTCCCACTTATGAGTGAGAACATGCAGTGTTTGGCTTTCTGTTCTTGTGTTAGTTTGGTGAGAATTATGGTTTCCAACTTCATCCATGTTCCTGCAAAGGACATGAACTAATCTATTTTTATAGTTGCACAGTATTCCATGGTGTAGATGTGCAACATTTTCTTTATCCAGTCTGTCATTGATGGGCATTTGGGTTGGTTCCAAGTCTGCTGTTGTGAACAGTGGCACAATAAATATGTGGGTACATGTGTTCTTATAGTAGAATGATTTATTCTGTTCATATGTAATATTACTACTCATATAGTTTAAATATTTAGTGTTATTAATATAGTATTTACATCTGATATTCTACCTTTTACTTTCTACATGATTTACCTTTACTATTCTTACTTCACTGTTTTTTTGTTATAAAACAACTATTTTCTAATGCAGATTTTAATACCTTTTATAATATATTAATTATATTATTATATTTTACTATACTTATTTGGTTTATATCCAAAAATGGGATTGCTGGATCAAATGGTATTTCTATTTCTAAATCCTTGAGGAATTGCCACACTGTCTTCCACAATGGTTGAACTAATTTACTGTCCCACCAGCAGTTTAAAAGCATTCCTATTTCTCCACATACTTTTCCTCAACTGTTGTTTTCTGATTTTTTTAATGATTGCCATTCTAACTGGCATGGGATGGTATCTCATTGTGGTTTTGATTTGCATTTCTCTAATGACCAGTGATGATAAGCTTTTTACCCTGTGTTTGTTGGCTGCATAAATGTCTTATTTTAACAAGTGTCTGTTCACATCCTTCACCCACTTTTTGATGGGTTGTTTGTTTTTTTTCTTGTAAATTTGTTAATTAGCCCTTTGTCACATGAATAGATTGCAAAAATTTTCTCCCATTCTATAGGTTACCTGTTCACTCTGATGATAGTTTCTTTTGCTGTGCAGAGGCTCTTTAGTTTAATTAGATCAAATTTGTTTAGGCTTTTGTTGCCATTGCTTTTGCTGTTTTAGTCATAAAATCTTTGCCCATACCTATGTCCTGAATGGTATTGCTTAGGTATGTTTCTAGGGGTTTTTATGGTTTTAAGTCTTATGTTTAAGTCTTAATCCATCTTGAGTTAATTTTTTTATAAGGTGTAAGGAAAGGGTCCAGTTTCAGTTTTCTGCATATTGCTAGCTAGTTTTCCCAGCACCATTTATTAAATAGGGAATCTTTTCCCTATTGTTTGTTTTTATCAGGTTTACCAATGATCAGATGGTTGTAGATGTGTGGTGTTATTTCTGAGGCCTCCACTCTATTCCATTGGTCTATATTTCTGTTTTGGTATGAGCATCATACTCTTTTGGTTACAGTAGCCTTGCACTATAGTTTGAAATTGGGTAACGTGATGCCTCCAGCTTTGCTCCTTTTGCTTAGTATTATCTCAGCTATACAGGCTCCTTTTTTTTAGTTTCATATGAAATTTAATGTAGTTTTTTCTAATTCTATGGAGAAAGTCACTGGTGGCTTGATGGGTATAGCACTGAATTTATAAATTACTTTGGGCAGTATAGCCATTTTCACCATGTTCATTCTTCCTATCCATGTATATAGCTTTATTGTTTTTACCCTCTTTCATCTATTATTTTATGTTTAACATTTATCACTGTTTCACATTTAAAAATGCATTTTTTATCTCTAGTCATTTTCTTAGTAAAATGTAGCCTGGTTCATTTCAACTACCTCTTTTGTGCTGTCATTTGCAAACATGTTTCACATGTTTTGTTTCTATAGATGCAAAACAAAAAAATTATATACATATAATTGCATTTAATTTCTTTTTAAATAAATTGAGAAAAGCAAGGAGAACAATGAATTAAACTGTTGTTTTACAATTACGTGATTACATTTTTATTTACCAATGCTTTTTTTCAAATGCTTTTTTTATTATCTCTTGCTTTCAGCCTGTGTTACATCTGTTAGTATCTTTTGTAAGGCAGGCTTATTAGCCAAAGATATAACCAGTTTCTGTTCATCTTGAAAAGTCATGACTTTACTTTCACTTTCAAAAAAATAACTATATAGGCTTATTGATTAATAGTTATTTTTAGATGAGCAATAAAAACATGTTATCCCACTGCTTTCTTGCCTCCAATGTTTCTAGAGAAAAATCAGCTATTAATATTATTGAGCTTTGCTTGTAAGAAACAAGTTATTGTTTTCTTGTTGCATTTAAGATTTTCTCCTCATCTTTGACTTTCAATATTTTTACTATCACAGTGTATTTGTGGATTTCTTTGTGTCTTGCAGTTCGTTGAATATTCTAGACGGGTAGATTATTGTTTTTTAATAAAATAGGGAAGCATTCAGCCATCACTTCTTTGAAAGATATTTCTTCCCTTTCTCTCTTCTTCATCTAGTCCTTTTCTTATGCATATGTTGGTGAACTTAATGGTATCCCAAATTTCCCTGGGGCTCTTTTTATTTTTCTTCATTATTTCTCTCTCTGTTCTTCAGTTTGCATTATTTCAATTAGTATAACTTTGATTGTAGTTATTCTTTCTCCTGTTTGTTGAAATTTACTCTTGAGATTCTCTAGTGATTCAAAAAATGGCAATTTTACTTCTCAACTAATTGATTGCATTCAATAGTAAATTAGACACAGCAAAAGACTGAGTTAGTAGATTTCAAGATGGGAATAATCTGAACAGTGAAAAAATAATAATTAAAACATACAATGCAATAGTGTTGAATAAACATGGACAGAAGTCTCAAAAGAGAGAGAACGAAACATAGCAGAATCAATATTTGAAGACAATTATTAAGATTTTTAAAAATTATGAAGGTTATCTATCCACACATATCATAAGCTCAGTAAAAAAAGCAGGATAAATATCAAGCAAAATGAAACAATTATACCTAAGAAAAGGAGGCAAAGCATCGCTAAAACACCATAGTCAATTCCTGAAACTAAAACAAACAAGAATCTTGAAACCATGCAGAAAAAAAAAAAAATATTAACATAATGAGAAAGTCAAGTAAATAGAATAATATAGCAATGCTAAATAAGTATTTATCTAAAAATATATCTTGAAATATATATGATAGAAATGATAGAATTAAAAAAAGAAACGGACAAGTCTACATTCAGAGCTGAAAATTTTAGCACATATCTTTTTGGCAATGATAGAATAAGCAGGCAATAAATCAGGAGAAGATACATAGATGAATTGATCAACACTATCAATCAATATGGACTATTTTGATCAACCAATGATGAGAAAAGTAGAAATAGTAGATCCTTCTGAAGAATAGATTTTATAAAGTAAGACACTTTATGAAATAAAGAAAGGTCCTATATGCTGTCTGGGCGAATGACACATAAACATATAAAAACATCACTAATATGCACACAAAAATATTATAGTTGTGCACTTTACTGTTTTCAATTATTCTTCAATTTAATAAAAGATAAGTGTTTAAGAGAAAACAATGAAACCCGGAAATGTGGAATAAGATGTTAGAAAGAATGGCAACCAAATTACTTATGTTTATGAATAATTGTATAAGCAAATATAGAGAATTGTTGACATCAATTTATGGAGTGAAAAAACAAGGTAATAATAAAATACTGGAATGAAGGGATTACTAAATTTAAAGGATTCTAAGTTTCTTTTATTTTGTGGCTGTGAGTGGTTAAATTAGTAACTTCCAGCCTTATAAAATCAAATATGTCTGTTAAAATGCAAAGCTAGCTCTTTACTTTCAGAAATGGCAGACATGGTAATTAAAGACAACTGTACCAGTGAAGACCCTAGAAAACAGACAGTGTGTGCTTAAGGCATCCTAAACCACCAAGACAGACATGATTTATGAGACCCTGATTGAGGAGAATCAGATACTCAGACACATGGACCATATATGTCCACCTCCTTTTAACTTAGAATAATATGTAGCATCAAAAAGAGAGGCTGAAAATAAATGCATTTCACAGGTCTTTTTAGTAAGGGGGCCAACACTGGAATCTAGATCAATGGATGGAAAATGTGTACTGTATTCTGAAACCTCCAAAACAATACTCTTTGAACACTTGAGCATATGTAAGACAGCATTCTTAAATTCTTTGTCAGCCAATCTGGTCATCTCTACCATTATTAAATGGTTTCTGTTGACTAATTTCTTTTTTTTCTGGTCATAGGTCAAATTAATTGTCTTATTTTTATATCTAGTAGTGTTTGCCCAGGGATAGATATTGTTAATACTATGTTGCTTAATATTTATATTTTATTTATTTTTTGAAACTGTGATAGACCTCTTTGCAGGGAGGGTGGGCAGGCAATTACACTATTTAGCTTGATCCTTTAGAGGTGTTTGTTATGGTGGGAATAGAGAAGCTTTCTTTGTAGGAATAGTTTAGCCCTGTAAACTGTGCTTGTTTTCTCACTGCAAAATTAGAGTAAAATAGCAGTAGTGCTTATATTACAGTTATTCTAATAATGAAATTATGTAATCAATAAAATTTCTTAGAATAGTGCTCTGTTCTCCTGTTATCTATTATTAATACTATTATTAATGCTATATTATTTGAACCAATAGAAAGAAGAAAAAAAGAAGTAAACACCATCAATAGAATTAAAAGGAACAAAGAAAGAAGAAGAAGGAAGAGAAGGAGGAAGAGGAGGAAGAATAAGGAGGAAGACACACAGGAGGTGGAGAAGGAGGAGGAGGAGTTAAAAAATCAATTGGAAAGTCTGGATAAAAAGAAAGCATACATATAACATGTTTTATATAAATTCAAATATTTAATATTTACATTAACTAAGTTACAGTAGGAAATTAAAATAAAAAATGATTTTCTAATGGCTTCCTAATAAAAAGTAAATTTCAAATATATTCTACTAATAGGTAATACTGCTAAAAACATAGAAATAAAAATTGATAAAAGAAGATAAAATAGAGTTTAAAAAATAAGATGAAATAGAGGTTAAAAAATAATATTATTGGCATAAAAAATGTGCCCCTGTATCATTCTTCTTTCTTAACATACAATGTAATGTAATACCATAAAATATAATAAATAAAATAAATAATATATGTATTATATAATATAATAAATATTACAATATATATTGTATTAATATAATGAACTCCAAACTTGCAGTATGATTCTTTTTTTCTTTTTTTTGAGATGGAGTTTTGCTTTTTGTTGCCCTGGGCTGGAGTACAGTGCTGTGATTTTGGCTCACTGCAACTTCCACCTCCTGAGTTCAAGCGATTCTGCTGTCTCTGAGTCCTTAGTAGCTGGGATTAAAAGCACCCACCACCATACTTAACTAATTTTTGTATTTTTAGTAGAGATGGGGTTTCACCATGTTGGCCCTGCTGGTCTTGAACTGCTGACCTCAGGTGATCCCCCCACCTAGGCCTTCCAAAGTACTGGAATTACTGGTGTAAGCTACCATGCCCAGCCAAGTATGATTGTTAAACATCATCATTCACAAATTTCTTTCAGCTAAAATGACCATCTGATCATCTAAGCACAACGTTAAAACTAAAAAAAGAATAAACTTAGAAGGTCTATGGACTTATTCTGTAATTTCTAAAATAGTTTAAGTTTTTAGAGATTAAATACTTAATGCTAACCGTGTTTTTGGTAACAATTTAGCTAAGAATGAACTATTCATCTTTACTACTACTATTGACTATTACATGGCAAAACAACATTATAGGTAAATAGCTTATATCTGGTTGAGTACATAGATATTTAGTATGATAATTTTCAATTCACAACCAATTCTGATTGTATTTGTTATATTATCATGTCTATCTCATATGTAAATAAGTTTAATTGTTCAATTTTGGGTTGACCATCTAGTTTTTCCACATTAATTTCCAAGTCAGAGATAGATAATTACTTAAAGTGGAAACACTCATTTCTAGAGAAGTGCAAATGAAATCTTTAATTAGCAAATTTCCAAATGGCTATTCCTAGCTGTAGCCATTAACAGCCGTTCTATGCCTTATTCATAATATGCAGAATTTAAGTCAACCAACATTCATGCCTAATGCTTTCAATGATTAGGTTTCTCAAACAATGAATAAATTACCAAAAAAAGGGGAAATTTAAAGTGAATTGAGTAAATTGAGTATTTGAATCTATTAATGTAGTGGTGGAAAAGAGCTTCATTCTTAAAATTTAGGAGAGAAAAAAGTCAGAAAAAATGCCCAGAGGTATGGAATGCTTTTCATTGTAAGCATTAATTTTTTTTTTAACTAGATAGTGTCAATACTTTTAAAATTCCAATTCCAGTAAGAGTTACCCTTTGGATTTCATCTGGCAGAATACAGATTTAAATGACAAGGCTTTTGTTGAATTACTCTTAGACAGACTGACGTTTTGGAGGAGTCTGGAATGTCAGGACACATCAGGGCTCTGGGTAAAGGCATGACCAGAGCAATGCAAGATATGCACTGAAACTTTTAGCAGACTTTGTTGTAGTTATCTGGTATCTTTGCCTACTCTCTGTCTTTCTAGGATTTGTATGTTTAAGACAAATAAAAGGTATAGCTAATTTTATTTTAATTAGTTTAAAATTGGGCACAGAGTGCCTAAATAGACACAGGTGTTATCAGCTGAATCATCATTTTAGGTCACCAAACTGATGAATTTTGACTTATGCCTCCGTACATTACCAGTCAATCTGCCCCATGGATTCTCCATGCTCAGTAGGGATATCTTGGTAGGCCTGGACTTATATCATTTTTAGAAGCTCTTTTTCAGAAATATAAATAAATAAAATAATAAATAAATAGTTATAAAAGTGAATACTTATTTAGAAAGACGAAAGCAATCACAAATACAATACTTAAAAAGATGGCAATTCCGAAAAAGTAAGTTTTCTCCTGCAACATTCAGAAAAGTAGAATAATTATTGTTCAATTAACCTTTTTACACAACTCTATGATGTGCTTTTAATATATATTTTAAGTTTTCAGTCTTTTATTGCCCTTTATATAATTTTCTCATGCATTTTGTAGCTGAAACAAAGTATTTTTTTCACTTTCCTTTAGCATGACTAATTTAATTTTTAATAAATATTTCTTTAAGCATGATAACTTGGTAATATAAAAAATCAGACTACTTTTAAATTTGAGGAAAACTCTATGAAATTTCTTTTACATATGAGCTGTAAGATTTCAGGACATTTTATTAGCAATTACATATGCAGTGACTATTGCTATATACTCTTTGAATTAAGGATTCCTTACTAACCATATTGCCAAGCTCTGGGATTCTGGGTAAATCCATCATGGCTGCTAGATATCTCTCACATTTCTTCCTCTTTTGCATTTCCACTGCAAGAGGGGCTTAATTTAGGACATTCATTATTTTTCCTGAATATCCTTGCACATAGACTAAAATCCAAACTTCACAACAGAATAAGAATAATTTATCCATTGCAGTTCTTCAAGCCTTCCCTAGAGCTTTTAGTTAAGTTCAAAATTTCTGGATTTCACATTTTATCAGATATGATCCTGATGTTCCTCTCTAGACCAGTAGTTTTCATCATTTGGTGAATAATAGAATCACCTGGAGAGCTTAAAAAATATCTCGTAGACAACCAAATAAATGCATATTCTTATTCCTGGACATAAAATATATCTGTGTATTTTAAGCCACCTATGTGGTTGCAATTGCATAGCCAGAATTGGAAATCTCTATTAAAACTAATCTCACACTATCCTCTTTTGTGGGATCCTTTACCCTATCTGGACAAAAGAGCTTGAAATTTATGAACTAGTGTTTGAGACTTAAAACACACTTAAAACACATTCCAGCAACTAGGCTTGGATGCCCCTTCTCTCACTGGCTATGATTTTGGAGACCCTACTGACTATACCTGCAGGAAGGCACAGGCTAATTTCCCCTATGACCCCTTCCCATGAGTTTCCCAGAAATTCAACCATACCGTGATGTATGCCGTTTTGATAAGCCTCTTCATGACCCTGCTATTCATTCCATTGTTAATCCCATTCCTTATTTTGTTATCCCATGGTAATGGCTTGAGATTAAACCATTTAATAGTTTACAATATACATTAATGTAAATATTGCTACAATAATGTCTTACTTTTCTAACAGGACGTAAATTATAATAATAAAAACCTTCAGAGTCCCAAATGCAAACATATACTTTCTTTTGTTCTTAAAATATTTTCCATATTTTATTTTGTACCCTATTTTCTGGGACCCTTCAAAACTCATGTGAGCATAACTTCCTCTAAGACACTTTCGTAGAGTGAGAATGAGGTTAACCTACAAGTTCACAAAGATCTGTGGGAGTTTCTCCTTCAATCACAAGGAATAGTAAACCTCCTACAAGCAAGAAAATTTCTATGAAAGATCCAGACTCTCCCAATATCTACTACTCTAGACAAAAATTCAAGGAAAGACTGAGGTACTGAAGATATTTCAAGCAATTTTTTCTTGTTTCCTTTTTTACTTCTGATGTATAATTGCTCTCTACACATTTCACCTGTTCATCACCTACAATGACTTAGAAATAAGACCGTGGCAAGACTATCTTTAGAAAATAGTGAGATGTGGGGATAGAGAGGAGTAAGGAGAGCCAGAGAAAGATGGGGAATATAGGGATAGCAAAATGCCCAGAATTGGGTCAGACATCTTTGGGAAAAAATGTATTTTAAAATGTTAAATATATTTCTTTAATATATATTGCAGGAATTGTTAAGTCTCTAATAATAAAATTATAAATCTTTGAGAATATAAAATAGCAGATCTTTCAAAACAAATTTAACCACTGAATTTTTATTTTTTATGTTACCCCTCTATTGTTGTACCTTCACTCAGGTCCTCCTACTCTCTCTTTTGATCTCCTGCCTTCCTTGTGGTTGCTCAAGTATGTCAGACATGTTTCTGCCTCAGAATCTTCTTTACAAGTGAGTTCTTCTGCCTGTACAAGGGTAATCTCATAACTCCTTCAAACATTCACTCAAATATGATCTTGCAAATAAGACCTACCCTGACTTAATAATCTGAAATGGCAACTTTGTCATATCAACAACTCCAGATATTCTTTACCCTAATTTATATATTTTTTATTTTTAGTCTGACTTCTGGAACTGGTCACATAATCCATATTAAAACTCCAGAGTGTGGCACCTATATGCTGTTCACTGAAGCCTAGCACATTATCTAATACATAGTAGGCATTCAGTTGGAATCCCTGCATGTCTTAGTATATAGCTCAGATACTTGAAAATACACATTCATTATTCTGGTTTAAAGCAGTAAAAACAATAAGAATCCAAAAACTAAAGATTGATTTGGAGAATAGAGGAGGAGACATAAACACCATCTATAATTTTTCTTATTTTTCTCAGACTTAGCAAATTTGCTATCATGGAAACATCAATGATACAAACAAACCACTATATTTGGAAAAGAAGGGCCAATAGAGTACAGAACTTCCAATTTTACTGATAGTTGATGAGTATTAGCTGATTGACAGTCTTAGACAGTGACATTGTAAACCCCAGCAGAACTCATCAGTCACTCTTTGTCAACATATGAAGGTATTTTATTTGATATGAAGGGCATGACAGAGAGCAAAAGACTTTTCATTCTTTCCTATTTGGAACCAATTTTTTCCATACACCACCTGTCCATAGACATAATTCTCCATAATTTATTTTAGTTTGCTTTGATCAACTGCCCCTTGACATTTTGTAATTT